GATAAATGGGAATGTGCAAATAGGCATTCTGTCTCTTGTCTCAGTTTCATTTACTGACTTTGTGGATTCCGTACAAAAGTTTTGTGATCTGAGGGATGGATTTTTAAGTCCAAAATAGGAAGGATACCCCGTTGGGCTTTGGTACCATCAACAGTTTGAATAAATTCCTTGGAACCTACTTTGTGGTTCAAGGCCTCTGCTAATCTGACTGTCCTTAGGCAGTTTTTGGTTGATTTGGGAGAGGAAAGTGTTGAGGGGGCAGAGTTTTGAACTCACAGGTCTATGACCATCTATGATTCAGAGAGAGGCAAACTAAAAGACATCCCCCACACTTTGTAGTGAAGCCAAACCTTCATTGGGAAAAATTGCTGAGTTTTGAGGCCCAAGTCTTCTGTGCAAATAGGGGGCTAAACTTAGGTTTTATAAGTTAAAATCTGGATACAGTGGTTTGGTGCACTACTTTTGAGGAGGTAGAGGCTCCTGAGGGTGGGGTTTATGAGATCTTTCGCTATGAAAGTAAAATCTTCCCTCCAGGGTCATCTTTGACGTGCCTCACAAACAGAGGTCTTCCTTGAAAAACCATACGTGGGACACTTCAGTGGTCCATGCGTTTAGCCTCAAGAGTCTGCGCATGTGAATGGAATTACAACCATTTTGGAAATTTGTGTCATGACGTTCTAGGGAACCCACACAAAAAGCAGAGCAGAAGGTAGTTGCTGTAATTGCTCCTTTAAAAGCATGATCCTGAAAACAGGGTCAAGATGGCTGTTAGCTGGCGTTTGACATAATGAAATTGCAGTGAGAGCTGGTTGCAGGGTCAGGCCTGCAAGAGTATCTAAAAACTTTCTATCTGTAGAATATTTGAAAGAAGGAACATTTACAAAAAAAAAGGTACAGTGAGATGTTTAAGACTCAAAAAGCAGGATCACATGAATATACATTTTTTTCCACTTGATAGAGTTCAGCAAAGATTTTTGGAAAGTTCAAATTTGTCCTGGAGTTAACCAAATCAACACAAATTACACATTCTATCTGTTCATGAACAGTGAAAGTCTCAAAAGATTTTGCGTGAAGCTCTCTTTTCAATATAGTGGCAATCTGGGGAAGAAAAATCTTCTGCAGCTCCAAAACGGCCTTAATGCCCTCTTCATTCCCTTCTGAGTATGTCTTGTCTAAGGCAGGCATGTCAGCATCCATCTCAGGTAAAAAACTGGAGTAGAATAGGCATGGCATTTCTAAGTCCTGGCCAAAGGTGGTTGTACTATATTATCCGAGGAATTGTGACATGGATGCAGAAAATTCTGCTTTTGTAAAATAGGCCACTTGCCCCATGCTAAATATGGAAGTAAAACTGAATGCAGAGACTGGTGTTAGAGCAGGTTGCTGCTCCAGGGCAAGGGGCACATCATCACTTTGAAACTGAGGGTTGCATGGGCCTTTAGCAGAGCTAATGTTTGCCTACTGTTCTGCAATGGTTCCCTTTCGCCTTGTTTACCTCATAGCTCTGTGTGAAGGTATTAGCTGTGAGGGACTTATGGAGTGGAGAATAAAGTGTAAGTGTATCCAGAAGATGAATAAAACACCCCAGGTGTAGATGGTCCCTTTCCTCATGGGGAAAGGGCAGGAAGAAGTGTCTGCATACCCAGTAGCTCTAGAAGGAAGTGGCAGTATAATGTGCAATTTTTGGTGTAATGTCACACCTGGTCATCCACCTGATACTAAGCTCGGAGTGAGTTTTAGTGCCAAGTTTGAAAAGTTAACACAGTAGTGAATACAATTCAAATATCACCCTGGTATTTAATGGTCATGATCAGAAGCACACAGGGTGACCATATCCTACCTGTCCACGATGCTGGACTGTATACAATATAAAGTCCAAGCTTGCCCCTCTCCATGGCAGTAGCCACAAAAAGGTCTTCAGAGACTGGGTACCATAAAGAGGGCCTACGGCCCTGGACATGTATAGCATCCTGGGGCTGACTATACTCCTTACACCAAGTGCAAGGGTGAGCGCCCATACAGGATCCAGGGCTTGGAGCAACATTACAGCCTGCCCATGGAGGACACAGAGTGGGGTAGGATTATTGGATTGGAGCCTTTTGGGAAGATCTTCGAAACCTTGTCTGCATCCAATCACCTGCAGATGCAATCCAGTAACCCATGGTCTATGAATACTCTGCCTCTGTCCTGTTTTGAAAGATCAAGATATTTATGTTGAACTTCCTGCCACATAACGCACAGGTAAGCCCCATTTTACATTCAGCAGCTTGCAGGAGTCTCCCATCTGGTGAGTAGGTTTGAGCTGGAATGTTTTGTGATTACGGCTATGCCTTTCCACTATAAGACATAGCAGTCATCAATAAACATAGGCCACAAACCTACTGACAAAACAAAAAAAAAAAACAAAAATAAAAACAAAAAAAAAAAAAAAAAACACACACCTCAAAATTGGGGGTTTTCCTGAGGTTCCAACAATGCTCAAACTAAGGGGAAAATAAAATTAAGGCACCACCTGGTGGCCTACCAAGCAGGGTTTGCTGTAAGAACATAAAACATAAGATATACACATCAAGACTGCTTTCCACAAAAGCTATATCACACAAGATTTTCTTACCACAAAGAACTGCATGGAGGGAACCAACTCGTCAGGCATTGGGAGAGGCTCAGGCAACAGGACTGGTTCACTCTTCACTGGCCCAGTAACATCAACTTCCTCATCATCTTCATCATCAGTAATTTTAATGTCTAGATCCTCAGTGTACTTCTTACGTTTCACTTGTCGGTTGGATCGTCTCTTCTAAAGAAAAGAGAAAAAAAAAAAAATAAAAAAAAAGAAGAAGAATGATGTGTACACTGACTTAACAAAATAATGAGAGGAGATAGCACAAAACAAACTTTGCGATTACTAATACTAAAACACTTCAATTTGACTAAAGTACAAATGTGAAAACCCTCCAGGCTGACCAAGATATGAATAAGCAAGCTCTCCAGGCTGGGTGAGATAGGAATTCAAGTACCTGAACGCTATCTTCATCTTCTACTGGAGAAGCCTGAGAGGGTAAAACTTCTGCATCAGAATTATCAGATGATGGGTTCCGCTTTCTCTTCTTCCCAACAATGGGAGTAATGGTACTAAAAAAAACAGGAAAGATAACCAAGTTGCAATTGATTTGTGGAATAGTAAAACACAATCATCCTTCATAAAATAGTTCTTAAAATAGCCAGCCAAACAATATGCTTTTAACTGATATCCCTGGTTAGATGATAATTTAAAGACTAGAGAACACAGTTTCATTTGGAACTCTTGGCAAACCTTAAGCTTGTTTGCATTGTGTGATGATGGGCTAGAAACCCTGTCCAGCTACAGCTGACTTTTAAATATACTTTTTACTTGGCTTTTCTGCAGATCTCATGGCCATTATCGAATTCTTTAATCCAGAACAAGCACGTGGGATTAGGAGCTCTGTAGTAGGACTTTTCTGAATCTCATAGAACTAAAGTAGCAAAGTAGCAAACCTTTTTTTACCATTTTGAACAGAGTAAAAAGGAGGGTTACAACCCCTGTTGGGTTATTTCCCCCCCCCCCTCCCCAAATCTATGTCCCATTTGGGAGATTTCTTTTTACTTTCTGTCCCATAGTCAAAACAGGAAGCGAGAGGAAATCTATCCAAATTGAACGAGTCCCTGGCTATCACCAGGGTCATCAGGGCTAGTGTTCCCATAGGAAGACAAAAAAAGGATTTTCTTTTACTTTAACTTTTGATAACAGTAAACAGGACAAATTGAGAGAATGAATCTCACTGACGGGTTCAGACACCAATAAAACCTGACAGGTGTTCCAATACCTCTCTCCCTCCAAAACTAAACATATTAATGTTTCTGCAATTTCAAGTGAGCCATAACGTAATCTATTTTGCAATACATGGAGCCTCAATTAGAAAAAAAAAAAAAAGCTAACTTTACAAAAAAGGTAAACAGATCCTTTAATTGTGTATTATGTTTTCAGTCCTCTTAAAGTGCTACTAAACCCACAACAGTAAAATCAGTTTTTATATGCAATTAAAGAATGCTTGTTATACTTACTGTGGAACCTAAAGGGTTAATCCTCTGCATTATGTAAAAAGGCTGTTTGATCCTGACTTCTTATTCTCCCCTTCTTCCAGTGCCCCCCTCCTATCTCCTGATAAGACATATCATGTGGAGTTACTCTGCACATGCTCAAATTGGTGTGTATTGCTAGAGCTTTTTTTTTTTTCTTTTTTTGGGGAGTACATGTGATCAACACAGGGAAAATCAGCACTGTTCAGACAGAGTCAAGGGTCCTGCATCCTCCTAGAGCAGAATTAAAACTCCTCCAAGTTTTAACCAGTGCTCTGCTGGATACTGATAGAAGTCACAAGACTGCTCTAATTGCGAATGAGAAAAGGTATTTAGTAGTTTATATTCACTAAAATAATTGCACTTCTATGTTCTGTAGGAGACCAGATATAGTGAATGCAGGGTCCAGAGTTTAGTAACACTTTAATGACTAAGGCCTGGTTCACATCTATGCGGATCTGTGGCCGGTGTTTGCACGAACACGGCAGTTCATTCATTTGAATGGGCTGATGTGCCTGTTTCCAGCAGAAAAAAAAAAAAAGATTCCTGCATCATTCTAAAGATGTAGTAGCTGGGAAATCGCACCATACTTATGCACCGTGCGATTTCCCTGCAGTTCCCGTACCTGTAAATGTGATGCAGAATAAATGACAGCTCCATGTATTTTCAAACAGCTGCAGGTATCAAACAGCCTGCGATTCCTGCACCCGCATAAAGGTGAACCAGGTGTAAAATGACATCACCATAAACGACATTGCCCCAAACTTTAAGATACAATATACTGTACAAACACACACTTCTGCTCACCTGGGCTTCGATTTGCTCTTAGATCTTGAACTGCTACTCCCTTTGGATTTTTTAGACTTATCAGTGCTTAAGCCATCACCCGAATCACCTTTCTTTTTCTTTTTCTTCTTCCTACTTGCATCATCATCCTCAGCATTGACACTTGGAAGCTCATCCTCATTTAGAACGCGGGGAATATTCTGCTCCCCTCTTGCTCTGGCCCTAGCAATGGCCTCAGCCACAATTCGATTTGCCTTTTCCTGTTTCTTTTGACTATCCAGCTTACGAGATTCCCCTGCTAGAAAGCATAGAAGGCAGTGAGGTTAGGTAAATAAAAATGCTACCTGCATCCCAAAGCATGAAATGTGTCTTGAAGAACACAGTGCATAAAACTTTCACTTTGTCAGTAGATAAAAGCTAAAAAAAAAAACAAAAAACAAAAAAAAACACAAAACTTTACAGCAGATTAAAGAAGGGCCCTGGTGCCATTGTATTGTAGTTTTGCACTGCAACGTAAATGGGGTCTAGTGGCTTAAAAGCAGAAAATGACAGCAGAACACATTTTAAAAACTGATGACTCTCTTACACATTCACCTCACTACAGTGGCCTGCAGGGGATGATTTCTACTACATCGGTATTCAGAGGCGCAGGCAGTCAGAAAGGTTAGCATTTAAAATTATTTCACAGGTAAGCTTTCCCAGAAGAACTTTACTATAGCAACAGCACTGCTTTAAAGAAAAAACATGCATCAAGAACTGTGAAGGCTGTTATTGTGGTCCCTCTTCTCCTATGAAAACCCCAGTTCCCCGGGTGCATGCTGATCTAATAGTTTTGTACTCTGTTTATTTGCAACTTCTTTCAGTTCAATAAACTCAGTTTTTTTTTCAATATTTTTTGTAAATTAGGGTTTAAAAAAAAGTACTGAATCCTGACAGTCAGGTAACCAGTATTTTCTGAAGCAGGTTTAGCAATGGCAGCCCCCCAATTTCACTCAGTTCAAGTTTCCTTTAGGCCTTGTTCACACCATAGTGCAGAGCCGTCAGTTTTTCTGCACGGGCATAACAAAATCAATAGTTCTCTATGTGCCCTGTTCACACCACAACAATAGTATCATGTGCAGATTTTTTTTCTGCTCAAGAATCTGTAACTTCTATAAAACTCACTGATGTGCACATGAAAACTGATGTAAGCTTGTGTCTCTGCAAGTGAAAGCTGCGCATCAGTTTCTATCTGCACATATCTTGTGAACGAGGCCTTAAGAGAAGTGCCAACTGCCATATCACTGACCTGACATCAGCCTCAAGTTGACAACAGACTTTAAAAGACAGATGGACATTCAAGCATGATCTCAAAAGGCACTCAAGCATATCTGAACAAAAACAGTTGCATAGGTGGAGTGTTCATTTTTAGGCCTAGTATGCAAGTTGGTGAAGTAACAAGGCAGAGAACCCTTGACATTTTTTTTTTTTTTTTTATAAAACACACCAACACCACCTCAAACACCCAACTACTACATAGGGTTTTCTTACTTTTGTCTCACTAGGCCCTGTTGGTGCCTGCAGTGCCGCAGATATTAAATTATTGCTTGATCTGGCCAACGAACATGGCAAAAAAGCTGCCTTTATTGACATGTTAACAAGCTGGGTACACATAGATCAAAATTTGGGCAGTTCAACAGAACTGGATGAATTTCAATCTATATGTAACCCTCATTAGAAGGGCACTGCTGGAAAACCTTGTTCGATCAGTGGCTTGCAATGCTGCTTAATTTATTCTGAGAGCAAGCACTAAATAATCTTAGTTGTAGATTACGAAAGTTAACAAAAATCACTCATTTAAATTTTTAAATACCATATTAAACGAAAACCACAATCCTTACAAAACATACCTCCAACTTTCACCAAAGTTTGGTTAGCTGTGAGACCCGCGACTTCACTGGCGTTCAACACTTTTACCACTGACAGACTTTGTGTGGTGCCTTGTGAGGAGCCCCCGCCTGGCAGAAAATCACACACACAGGTAACAGAGTTCAGTAAAGAATCATTTGCATCAATATTTGTACCAATACATTTTGCAACTCTTTACTTTTGACAGTGAACTATCCACTTCAAAAAAATAATGTCTATCATATTCACAGAATAAAGCACCTAAAAGAAAACAGATATAAACACAGTGAAAATATAAGCGCTCCATACAAATGGTACCTTGGATCATGTCAAACCAGAGACCCCAGTGCTACAATAGAAATCATTTACAGTACTTGCACAGGTGCAGTTCAGTTTACATTGCTTTACAGTGCTTCTGTGCCACTATGGCTGAACTCATTGTACATGCGCAGAAGTTACATTACCTCGTGTCAGAAAATCAAGACAGCCAAAAGATCGACATTCAGAAGAATGGAGAAGGTGACCTCACGTTTCAAGTCATTAAAGCAAAGGTTAAGTATTGCGGACTTTAGTTTCGTTTCAAAGGAATTGGCTGTCTAGCATATTACCATTCGTTCCCCTTAGCACAGTGGTGGGCAACCTTTTTTTTTTCAACTGAGCCAAATCTTGCCAAAACCACGATTGAAATTTATTTTGAGAGCCACATTTTTAAAACTGAAAATACATCCCCCATTCCCCCTATAGTAATTCATTCCCCCTATAGTAATTCATTCCCCCTATAGTAATTCATTCCCCCTATAGTAATTCATCCCCCATATAGTAATTCATTCCCCATATAGTAATTCATTCCCCATATTGTGTCAATTCACTTACCTTTGCTCCGCGTGTTCCTCTCGCCGTGTTCCCGCGCCGTTCCGGTCTTCAGGGCGGACTGTGAGAGGAGAGGAGTTCGTCACGCTGCCCCACCTACCCTGACAGCCAATGTTTGCCACACTCCGCGGGCCGGATTAAAAGGTCCGCCGGGCCGTAGTTTGCCCATTGCTGGGCTAGCTGCAGAGTCCTGACTTTTGGGGCGACCGCCTGAGAGGAGGGAGGGGAGCGGGCGACCGGCACACAGAAGAGCCGCATTGAAGTGTGTAAAGAGCCGCATGTGGCTCGCGAGCCACGGCTTGCCGACCACTGCCTTAGCACAATATAAATATGCATACCTCATACTTGATGGGCAGCCGGGGAAGCTGAAAATCACCCTAGTGATCGGTACTGTCACAATATTAGCAGTGGTACAGTATTGGTTCAGTAATACCAACTACCCTTTGGGTCCTTTACAAGTGTCTTTCCTTCTGCACACCGACCACTATGGGGGGGGGGGTCATTGGTTGGCACATCAGCCATCCGTAAAATGCCTTGTATTTTTTTTTTTTTAAATTAATATAAAGGCGTTCTCTGACTGGATGAAGTGGAGAGGAGGAGTGGTGACATTAGATTTCCCTTCACTTCTGTCCTGGAGACACAACAGGGAATGAAAGGACATATCTTCAGGGGGAGTGAAACGCCCTCTTAGACAGGAGTCAGAAGAACAGGTGTCATCACTGGAAAACTTTCCATAACCTGTTGGGCGGGCCATAGATGAGACGAATTGCCGGCCGATAAACGAAAAATCGGTCGGCCCCGTTGCCGATGCTGCCACCAATGTCTACGAAAAATGGCTGTTTTTCGTGGATTTTCCCAGCATGACCGATAAAAAAATAAATGAGGAGATCTGCGAAAAACAGCCGATGGGCTGGCCCCGCTAACAGCGTGTTATCGGCCGATTTTTCATGCGGATGAAAACTCAGCCGATAAACGACCGTCTTGGCCTGCATTATTCTAGTAACTACAACATTTTGGATTTCCCAACACATTTGCTCTTGGTAACAATGTCCATCAGGATAATCAGAGAGGGTGAATTAGAATGGGGCAGACTGCAATAAAAACCTGACAAAGGGTTTAAGCTACTCTATCTGAAACCAAAAAAAAAAAAAAAAAACATTCACTGTAAGATTCACAGACAACCACCTGTCTCACCTCCCAAAGTCCTTCTGTTTTGACAGCGAAAACCCCAATTACTTTTTCCATGGCCCACAAAAAAAACCATACATGAGATACTAGTACAGAAATCAACGAGGTGGGGGGGGGGGGGGGGTATTTTATTTTGTATATAACACAACTCTGTAGTCCCAATTTATGAAACAGGCATGTCCTGCAGCCAGGAGTTCGCAGGGAGACTGCTGAAAGAGTTGAGTGAAATTTTGCAGAACACTTTCAGCTTTCTGTAACTTTAAAATAGCTTGTTTGGACCAAGATGGTCCAAATGAACTACTACCTTCACCAACATATTCACCTGCTGTTAGCACTGTATAAATGTAGCATCAGCTCCATACAGTATACAGCACTGTGTTCCTACAGGGGAATGGGGATTTCCTGTCGCACGTCCGGGGGGGGGGAAAGTCAGGCTGAGCATTGCTCAGCTATTCACAGGAAGCTTTGTATTTTCTGAATAAAAAACAAGGCTGACTAATGTGGGGAGGCAGGTGGACGATGTCACAATCTCTGCTCCCCAAGAGAAGCAAAGAGTTTATTCAAAAATCTGTACCTTATTAAACATAAACACATACACATGCGTCCCCGATTTAGCGAAACGCATAGGGGTAGGAACTTCCGGTTCACGTGCCACTCCTGCCTTGTGGGATGCACGCCGCCTCCCATGCTGATTAGATTGGTGGCAATTAACTATAGAGCTTTGGAAGAGGATTTCGGGTTGCCAGGTGGGGCACTAAGTATTGTAAGATCCTTTTTTGCTTTAAATGATAGTTTTAATAAAACTGTATTATACCATGAAGATTTTTTTTCTGCTCGATTCCTCTTCTGTGTAGGCACTAGATACATTATGTATACCAATCCTAGGAAAATTGTCACACACAGCAGCACAGCTGTGATCCAGCACTTTTGACGTACCTTGGTTTAAGCTCAGGTAGTTCAACACCATTTGGAGAGTTCAGTCCCAGAAGGGCATGGGGCACTATACACAAAGTGAAGAGGTTTTGAGGAATACTAGCACAGATTGTTGCACTTTAAGAAGATTTATAACACACGTTTTGGCACTTTTATGGTGCTTGCATTTTATATGGGACTGTGTAGCACTTTATATCTGAAGGTTTGATTATTTGAGTTGATTTATGGTTTATGTAATATGTTGAAAAGGGTTAGGATTGGATAAACGTATTTAATATGCTTTATTAGATTCATTTTCAAATGAACTGAGCAGCAGCAAGTGTATGTGTACATCAAACTGAATGCTGTGCACTTTCAATTTTCTTACAAAAAACACACACACACCCCTGCTAAAAACACCAGCAAGTCCTCTGGTGGAAAATTCCTCCACTCTGGCCACAGCTAATACCAGAAGTAGGACAGCATCAATTCATCAAGCAGCATTAAGAATGTCTCCAAACTACTCGCTTGTCTCTGTACACAACCTCATCAGGAAATCCATGTTAATTTCATTGAAGCAGAGCTGACACCAAAGATGGAACAGATGGTAGGACAGGAATATAACAACTCTTTCAGAATTCCTTCCACAATCCAAAAACATAATAGATTATTCAGTTCCGACCAAATGTGCCCAACTGTATGTGTCTGCATAAGAGTGTTCGTTGCTTAGCAGGATCTGATGTCAATGACAGACACAGCCTGTAAAACTTAAATGCGTCAGAGCTACATACAGTATCTCCCAGAAGTGAGTACACCTCACATTTTTGTAAATATTTTATTCTATCTTTTCATGTGACAACACTGAAGAAATGACACTTTGCAACAAATGTAAAGTAGTGAGCATACAGCTTGTATAACTGTAAATTTGCTGACCCCTCAAAATAACTCAACATACAGCCATTAATGTCTAAACGGCTGGCAACAAAAGTAAGTACACCCCTAAGTGAAAATGTCCAAATTGGGCCCAATTAGCCATTTTCCCTCCCTGATGTCATGTGACCCGTTAGTGTTACAAGGTCTCAGGTGTGAATAGGGACCAGGTGTGTTAAATTTGGTGTTATCACTCTCACTCTCTCATACTGGTCACTGGAAGTTCAACATGGAACCTCATGACAAAGAACTCTCTGAGGATCTGAAAAAAAGAATTGTTGCTCTACATAAAGATGGCCTAGGCTATAAGACGATTGCCAAGACACTGAAACTGAGCTGCAGCACGGTGGCCAAGACCATACAGTGGTTTAACAGGACAGGTTCAACTCAGAACAGGCCTTGCCATAGTCGACCAAAAAAGTTGAGTGCACTTGCTCAGCGTCATATCCAAAAGGTTGTCTTTGGGAAATAGACATATGAGTGCTGCCAGCATTGTTGCAGAGGTTGAAGGGGTGGGGGGTCAGCCTGTCAGTGCTCAGACCATACTCCGTACACTGCATCAAATTGGTCTGCATGGCTGTCGTCCCAGAAGGAAGCTTCTTCTAAAGATGATGCACAAGAAAACCCGCAAACCGTTTGCTGAAGACAAGCAGACTAAGGACATGGATTACTGGAACCATGTCCTGTGATCTGATGAGACCAAGATAAACATATTTGGTTCAGGTGGTGTCTAAGCGTGTGTGGTGGTGGCAACCAGGTAAGGAGTACAAAGACAAGTGTGTTTTGCCTACAGTCAAGCATGGTGGTGGGAGTGTCATGGTCTGGGGCTGCATGAGTGCTGCCGGCAATGGGGAGCTACAATTCACTGAGGGAACCATGAATGCCAACATTTAATGTGACATACTGAAGCAGAGCATGATTCCCCTCCCTTTGGAGACTGGGCTGCAGGGCAGTATTCCACCATGATAACAACCCCAAACACACCTCCAAGATGACCACTGCCTTGCTAAAGAAGCTGAGGGTAAAGGTTGATGGACTGGCCAAGCATGTCTCCAGACCTAAACCCTATTGAGCATCTGTGAGGCATCCTCAAATTGAAGGTGGAGAAGCGCGAAACGCAAGGTCTCTAGTATCTACCAGCTTCTTGATGTCATCATGGAGGAGTGGAAGAGGACTCCAGTGGCAACCTGTGAAGCTCTGGTGAACTCCATGCCCAAGAGGGTTAAGGCAGTACTAAAATAATGGTGGCCACACAAAATATTGACACTTTGGGCCCAATTTGGACATTTTCACTTAGGGGTGTACTCACTTTAGTTGCCAGCGGTTTAGACACTAATGGCTGTGTATTGAGTTATTTTGAGGGGACAGCAAATTTACACTGTTATACAAGCTGTACACTCAAACCTTTACATTGTAGCAAAGTGTCATTTCTTCAGTGTTGTCGCATGAAAAGATAGAATCAAAAATATTTACAAAAATGTGAGGGGTGTACTCACTTCTGTGAGATACTGTACATTACAAAATACATATGCATACCATAAGAAAAACACTACTTATGTACACAATAGTACATAGAGAAATGCACTTTAATACATGATAAACTTTATATACACACACACACACACACACACACACACACACACGTCTTTTTGTTCCTGTACTCACCTGTGGTTGTAAGACAACTTTGAGAGGTACTGAAAGCCTCTGGCCTCCTTGGTGACCTATGACATGTGTTTGCTGTGTGCCAGGAGCAAGAGTCAGACCAGCTGGTGTCTGCTGTACAATTTGAAACTTCTGCGGAGTGTGTGCTGCTGCCCCTGGCTGCTGTTGTACCTGAAGCTGTATAGTCACTACCTTAGGTTGTCCCTGTTGAGTCTTGGCCTGTGTCAAAGCAGCCAGTTGGTTTCCTTGAAGAACAATTTTCCCTGGCAAACCACCCAGTACCACATGACGCTGGCCTTGTGGCGTTCCTGTGGCTGCCTGGTTAGGCTGTTGAAGCACAAGCGTGATGCGTTTTGAATCCCCCTGAAGAAAAATGTAGAACATATTTAAATATTTATATGACTTCTATTTTAATATTTCTAGACATACATAAATAAGAAATAATAAAGCAGTAGGTAAGCATTTTTTGAGGTTTATTTAAACTGGAACACCAACCAAATTTTTGGGAGTTTTGTTTAGAGTAGAAAAGCATTAAAACTCTCAGATACCCTTTTTGGGAAGATTTACCCCCACCAATGGTCCTTATGTCCAATGTCATTGGAATAGGAAATATGTTGAAATCTAAAATAGTTGATAAAAGATGACAACTGTCAAAAGGTGGGAATTACCCTCATTTCTTGTTCAATAACTTTTTAGAAAAGTTTAAAAAAAAGATGAACATGGCAGAAGTGAAATACAGTTCTCAGGCTTCCATGTACACAATATGTTGACAAAAGGAACAAATATGAAACTGTAGTAGTCAATAGTGTAAATGGAGGGGTGGTAAAACAAGTGAGGCACTGAGGGCTTTGCGATTTTCATTTGGAGTAACAGTATCAAAGTGTAAAGATGGAATGACAGCAAAAGGAGGGGGAAATGAGGAGTAGAGAGCAGTGGGGTGGGAGAGGAGTTAAACTGAGGGAAGAAGGGAGCCAGCTGAGGAGAAAACAGCCATTTCAGTGCCCAAGTGTGCCGTGGTAGGTAACAGAGGTCTTTTAACCTGCGGTCAAAATTGGGTGGAAAGTTTGTGTTACCGCCATTTCACTAGATAAACCTGCCTTATGAGAAGGCAACAATAAAAAGTCACAGATATTTTAACCATTCCCAACTGTCAAAAAAAAAAAATAAAAAAAGGTGGTGCATGTTTTCCTTCCATACAAATTGTTTAGTCGCATAGCAGTAGCCTTTCTTGCCGTGCTCATTTAAGAGTCAGAGGTGGACACAAAACACACTTATTATATTACACACAGGGTTGGAGTCCTATCGCCCAACACCCGGGACATGTAGATCCAGGCGCTGGGCAGATAGCTTCTTTCTACCTTTAGTCCTGCTGCACTGCTGCCGATTGCTTCCACACAGTGCCAGCCTCTCCGCGCCCCCGGCATGAGGTCTTTAGGTCTTTCGGGCTCTGCTTGCCCATCTGCAGGCCCAGCTCGCCGTCGGCTAGAGGGGAGGGAGAAGAGCGGACAAGTCCGTTCCCCTCCCCTTCTTGTGCGGACCCAGAAGTGACGTGATGATGTAATTTCCGGATTCCCATTGAGAGATTGTAATGCAATCCCCGGGAAAGAGCAATCCCCAGTGGAGCAAAGAGGAGACATCCAGGGTCTCAAAGAGAACCTGTCACCAAAAATCATATAGGGGACTTTGTCCCCTATGTGATGTAAAATTATATATATATATATATATATATATATATATAATAAATAAATAAAAATATACACACAGACACACTTTTTTTTAAATATATATTTATTTTATTTAAATTTTTTTTTTAATTAAAAAAAAAAAAAAAATTTAAGTTACAGCCAAGCACATACCATCCCCCCCCCCCCCCCAAAAAAAATAGAGGCCCCCCCACCCCCGCAATAATTCTAGCACCAGACCTTATCCATAACGCTAAACTGGTGACCTATAAGGAGCTTTAAAAAGTGTTGACCTATAGCAAATATAGGGTACTGAAGTTTGTTGCCATTTTACGAGCGCACACAAATTTAAAGGTTTGACAAGTTGATATCTATTTACTCTCGGCAACCTCATCTTTTATATTTTACAAAAAAATAAGGCAATTTATTGCTTTTTTTGTGCCTTAAAATTAACGTACTTGTGTTTTTTACTGAAGTTTGAGGTAATATCATGCAACATAAAAAAAATTGGAGCTACAGTGGTACTTTGGTTTACTAATTTAATGCATTCTCCGGGACGTTTTGTATTGCGAGAAATTTGTAAACCAAAGCGCGGTTTCTCATAGGAATGCATTGAAAACCAATGAATCCGTTCCAGAGGCAAGAAAAAAAAAAGTTTGTTTTTTTTTTCCCATCTGTTCAAAAGTCTTTATAAAATGCTCTTTAAAAAAGGCATAAATACTGTACAGGGATAGGATTAAAAAATTCCAGAATGGCTCCAAAACTCGATAAAAAAAACCGTTCCAACACCTCCACACTCAATGCCACGTGCTACCCACAGACTCTAGCATGCGCGGGGGTGACGCTATAAACGAGGCGCAATGCATCCTGGGGAAGCCGAGGTACCACTGTACCACTGTTTTATTCTCTAGGGTCTCTGCTTTCAGAAAATATATAATGTTTGGGGGGTTTTATGTAATCTTCAGGCCTAAAATGATTTATTTAAACGTGTGCAAAAAAAACACAAAAACAGTTCTGACAGCGAAAATGGATAAAGGATAAGCCTTGACCCACCCTTCCTGACGAGCAGCCAATCGGTGCTCATTACACTGCAAGGTCTCTCTCTCCTCCCTGCTAGTCCCCGGGTGCAGTGCTGGAGACACGCAGGGAGGGGAGTAGGAGATAAACCGTGCAATGTTAAAATTATTACACGTTTAAGTTGCCATAAAGCCCCTTTTGTTTTAAAAAGCCCCAGACATTGCTAAAATCACCACCGATTCAAATAAGGTTTTGATTACTTTTTTTATTACCTGGACAAGTAGATTGTAATGAAGAACAAGTAGATGGGGGGGGGGGGGGGGGGTTGGCGCAAAAGCCTGAACATTGGATTATCTTCCAGAAAAGCTAGAGAACTGACCATGCTGTGTTCTCCTGCCTAGTGTGATCAGTTTTTATTAGGAAACCAGAGGAACGATCCCCTGGGATTTCACACAAAAGGAAGCAATACAAAGACAGCAGGACTTTTTCATACAAGTACATGGTACAGCAGGCACATATCAGGAATATAAAATGTTGCGTTTAAATCATCTTTAATGGCTCAAGGAACAGGTCCATAATAGCAGAGTTTTCGAGTCCTTGAACTTGAAAGTCCTTGAAAACTGAAATTGTGCCTAATGCAGGCCATAGACTGTTCGTTTATCAGCCGATTTTCGGCCGAAAAACGAAAAAAAAAAAATGGTCGTTCTGTTGCCACCAATGATTGCAAAAATTGGCGTTTTTCGCAAATTTTTCCTGCATGACCGATAAGAAATGAGGAGGAACAGCGAAAATCGGCCGATGACAATGCCTCACTAACGGTGTGAAAGTCGGCCGATTATTATTTCGGACGAAAATTCGGCCGATAAACGAAACCGTTTATGGCCTGCATTAGTCTTTCTTTTTTGAGATATGGGCTACAAAGATGCATTTCCACATCTCCATACAGCCTGAGATGCACTGATTAACAACAGGCACGTCATTTACTCCTCAGCTAGAAGGGTCCATGCACACTAGCTTAAACTGCTGTTTCTACAGGAGTTTTGTGTTTTGTCTGTAGAAAGCAGCTGTGTGTCCATGCACATTAGAAGGCATTTTTTAAAGTGGTATTAAACTTTTTTTTAATACTTTTACCTACAGGTTGAAATATTAACAATGCTTACCTGTAGATAAAATTAATATCTCCTAAACGTGCTCTGTTTAGGAGATATTAGCGCTTTTTGAGAGCCGACGCATGCACTCTAAAGGAACGGCATACCTGTCCCATGGCCTGGGACTCCCGCGCATGTGCAGGAGTGACATCATTGTGGATCGGCCAGTCAGATGGCTGGAGTTTGCAAACCCAGAAGGAAAACCGGGTGAAGATGGAAGCCTCTGCAGTGGTGACAGCACGCCGCTGGAGGGATTTGTTTTAAAGCAAGTCCTTCATAATGTACTAGTATGCGATGTATACTAGTACATTACCTTGCAGGGGATTTTTTTTTTTTTTTTTTTTTTTTTTAAGCTGGTGTTTACTACCGCTTTAAGCTCATTGTTTAGAGGTAAGGGGAAAAAAAAACCCTTCTGGTTTGCATTTTGATTGGAGCCTTCAGGCAGAAAAAAAAATAAAAAATAAAAAAAAAAAAAATGCTAAACTCTCCTACTAAACGGTGTACAAAAATGCTCTACATCAGCTTTCCTTTCTGCCAAGAGAACTGGCATTTTTATGGAGCCTAGGGGCACGTTTATAGACTTACTACTGTATGTGCATCTGTAAGGGCACCTATGTGCGCCTGTGCTGTTACCTACTGCCATCTTCCTAAAATGTGGATCTAGCACACTCCAAAGACGTTTTTAAACCTGAGTTTTGTGCAGTATACAAAACAAACATCTCTGTAGGTGGGAGGCAAGCTCCCAATGCATTTCATAATTTGAACTTGGAGTTTAGGTGTGGTCAATTTAGTTGAGTTCAGAAAAAATTAAATTCTGGGGCGTCCATGATCCAATTAGAAACTCTAAATGCAGCTAAACGTATGTAAATGCATCTAAGTGCACCTAAACATGGCAAAACCTGAACATCAAACAGGCAGGAACATCCAAACACTGGAAAAAGTGATCTCAGCACAAACGTTCTTTCTACTTCCAAAAACACTTCTCTGACACTTAGAAAAGCTAAATGCAGGAGGGCAGTGAGAAGAAGGCCTTAAAGTCAACGTTAATTTTTAGTTTAAACCAGCTAAATACATTTTTAGGTGCATTAAAAACAAGAGACTTCTTGCGTTCCAGGCATTTTGACCCTGACCACATACAGCCCTAAAACGTACGTACTGCTAAGTGTACTGACCAGCTGCAGCAGTTGTCAGCCTGTCAGAGTTTGATAGTCTGCTGACAGTGCAGCTGGATGGGAAACCATGCCATCCATCTGCAGCTAAAATGCCAGAGTCCCATTCACCAGGGCTAAATGCATTAGGCCTTAAAGTATCAATAGTGCTTGCCAAAATACAAAGACAATCCAGATCCTCGAGACACCACCAAGCCAGGGACAACTTGGTCCTTGGTGACAAATGATGGTCTGTCCATAGACTGGATTGACTTGTCCTACAATGACTGAATGCCTGTGTTGCAGAAGCTGGGCAAATGAACTGGCTCGCTAGAGTCAGGCCTTGGACTTTCATGCAAAAAGCAGAG